GGGAAATCCACGAAGGAATCAACACCCAGCACATGGGCGGAAGGTCCCTAGCTCAAAAGGAGTTGTGAGCGGGGTACTACTGGCTGACCATGCAACAAGACACCAAAGAGCATGTCAAGAAGTGCGACAAGTGCCAGAGACATGCTGACATGCACCTCGCTCCCCCGCACGAGCTAAATACGCTATTGTCCCTGTGGCCATTTGCCTGGTGGGGAATGGACATCCTCAGACTGTTCGTGCAAGGGACATACCAAAAAAAATTCCTCATCATCGTCGTAGACTATTTCACCAAATGGATAGAGGCTGAAGCCCTACCGAAAATCACCTCGCACAACATTCTCTGTTCGTACAAACGAAATGTGCTCGCTCGGTTTGGGATACCATAAGCGCTCGTCACGGATAACGGTGCGTAGTTCATCGATCAAGGTTTCCAAAGCTTCATCACCAAACTCGGCACCAAGTAGCATTTTACCTCAGTTGAACACCCCCAGACCAATGGGCAAGCCGAAGCCGTAAATAGGGTTATCTTGTGAGGACTCAAACGCAGGCTAGGTGAAGCCAAAAGAGGATGGGTCGAAGAACTACACAGCGTCCTATGGGCTTACCAAATAACGCCCCATTCGATGACTAGAGATATGCTATTTTGACTTACCTACGGCACCGAGGCTGTCATCCCGGTAGAAATCATGGAGCCATATAGGCGAACTGAAATGCCCCTCGACAAGGAGATGAACGACAAGGAAATGGACGCGTTAGTGCCTGTTGCATGTGGGCCACCTTGGTCTCCTTGTTGATTGTCTGAATTAGACATTTTGTCCAAACGTTTTCTTCTGGATAAAGGTTGGTTGCTGTTGGTTATCTTACCACTTCTCAGGTTCATAAAACAGCAAACTTCTTAGGTTCCTACGTTTTTGTAATGGCTACGTCTCGACAATTCTTATTTCTGATATCCAATTATTGGTCCCACCGGGTGTGCCAATTTGTTTCCAGTGATTTCTGGTAAACAACCGCTAGTCTTCCAAACTATCGAATAATCTTTCTTAACGTTATTCAATCTCTCTGGTAACTCACAGGATCGACTAGATTGATCCTAGGACTCCTTGGATATTAAGGTTACTCTCACAATCGAACAATTATTCATGGTTGCTATTGTATAAGTGTTTGGCTTACTTCGATCTCTCTCTCTAAGAGTCTAAAAATGTGGTTAAAATGTATATGAAAACTAAGGTATACGAATAAATGCTAATTGTAATGCTGATTGTAGAGACATATAAAACTGCATGAAAAATGAAGTAAATGGTTTCGATTTACAAAACGTTTAACATAAAAGGTTTCTGGAATGTAGAAGTTTAAAATGTGAAGAAAGCGTTTAATGCAAGAAATCTATAAATGATTTTAAGTAAAAGTATGCGCTTGAAGAACAATACTTGAAAGTAAAGGTATTGAAAGTGTGACAGTTCTCTGAAATATAAAGTGCTAGAAATATAAAGAAAACAGTAAAACGTAGAACTTTGAGTAAAAGACTTCGAAATGAAAAGGTTGTAAATAAGAAAAACTTGCAAATGTTATTTGACAAAAAAGAAAAGAGGAAAGTACTGGAAATGGTAAAAGGCTTTCATTAAGTTAGAAATACATGGTGCTATCATACATACATTTCTCTTGCATTCGTTTCCCTTGCCATGTGGTAGTTTGAATGTTATTGAGTCTTTTGTATAACAGATATGACACACCGAAATCCTAATACTAAGACTTCTATTTATACTAATTCGACCCTAACGGTCTCGCTACAGGATTATGCCACGTTTCGAACATGCAAGACAATGTTTCTTTCATCTTTCCACGTGTCCCCAAATGCTCCAACACATAACTTTCAAACTTTGAAAGTCCCGCTTCCATTTGAATTTTAAATGCTTTTGGTGTCTCTCTATTTCGAGCGTTCTTTCCAAACACAGCCTCGCTGTTGTTTCGAGACTCCTTTAACTATGTTCCCATAATTGCCGTTCGAAGCTTCACACTTTGACACCCCTATTCGAAACACTGCTTCTGCAACTTCGAAATATGGCGTTTAACTCCATTTCGATCAGGACTTTTAACTCTTTTGGCCTCTAAATAACATTATCAAAATCTTCAGCCAACAATTACATTATTTCTTCTCTTTCTTTGCATCTCAACAAAATTGAATAAATAAAAATAAAAAACTTTTTGAAGTAAGGTGCAAAATTAAAAAGTTAAAGGAAAAAAAGAACACCACGATGTATAGAAGTCCAATCAAATCAAAAGGACATACTCCTCTCTCTAAGAATTAGCCTTAAGAGTTTCCATTATATACTTCAGAGCTTTTAGTAGGTGAAGCTCACGAACCCCTTTATACAAAGAAATGGTGATTATTCTACAACCATAATAATACAAGACAGAAGATATGATCGTTTGTGTCTTCTCCATTGTTGTGACTGATGTGGCTAAGCTTTCTTCCTAACTTTAGATTGAAGTGATAAGCTTCTCATCACGAAATATCTGAGCTCAATGTGGTTTAACAGGATAACCATTAACCTCTTAAGATTTTAACAGACCGATCTTTTAACCTATGAATTTATACAGGCTAACCATGAACTTAATGGCGAGTTCATCAATTTTGAAGAACTTCATCCTTCATCAATCATACTAACGATCTTCAACCTAACTAAATATCATGAACTAATCACACAATCCTCAACCAAAACTTTTTACGAGTTTAGCTTCCAACGTCATATTTTTATTCCTAAACTGGATTGTGTTTATCAAGGTGTATCAATAACAACCTTTAAGAACTTCATGCATTGCTACTCATCCAGAATTACATAAACATCTCACTCACAAAAGATGTTTACTCGCAAAAGCAGTTGGCTATAAGAACTAGTGAGGGAAAGTGAAAATGAAAACTTAAAGAGAGAGAGAGAGAGAGAGAGAGAGAGAGAGAGAGAGAGAGAGAGAGAGAGAGAGAGAGAGAGAGAGAGAGAGTGTGTGTTAATATATAATTCTTCTTCTGAGTGATTTGAACCGAGGAATGAGACCTCTATATATAGGCTTCAAATCCTCCAAAAGAAGAAACATAATTAAATAAGAAATGATCGCTACTAATCAATTAAATCATTTAAATGTGACGACCGTGTTTTTTAAAATAGGTAAGAATTGATATATAATCATTGTTAATCATTTGAGTATATTTAAAATACATTATTTCTCATGAATGCTCCAATCAAATCGATTGATACTTCTAATCGATTAGATCCAATCAAAATAATTTTTCTGGATTTTGAGTGTTCCTGTTACTTTTTAAGCAGCTTCTATATATTTCTTCAAAGCATTTTCTTTTAAAAAAAATTTTTTTTTAAGTTTTTAAATGTGTGTGTATGTGTGTTTATAGTCAACTACCTATATAAAGACGGAACTTTTGCTTTTACAAAAGTTCAACCCACTAAATTGAGATAATTTTCCTAAGCGTGTGTTTGATGTATTCATTGTGTTGACACCTTACTTAAGATCTCTTTTTTTAGACTTGTGATGTAATCTACTTGTTTGTCTTTGTCTGAGACTTTGTTGATGGAGCTTTGTATGTACCTGAAACTTTGTCAATCTTCTATCAAGCTCGTGGTTTGCATCTTTAACTGCTTTAAGTATATTAGTTGATTTTCTAAATGATTACATCTTAACTATGTTGAATATTATTTTATCACCTCTTTTACATTTGTCATCTTTGCAGTTGTATCATGCTGGTTATTTGTTTTATCCTTTATAGTTAAAATAAAAATTTGTTACATCTTCAATATGCTGAATGCATGATCTATACTTTAAAAATATTATTATGTTGCATCTTTGTCATGCTAAAGTGTTGTCATCATCAAAACAACAACTTATTACCTACAAAACAAAATTTCACATAACTGTAATACTGATAATAGAGTGGTTACCAAAGAATTTTGAGAAGTGAGAGACAAACCAGAGAGATACAGTTTGCATAAAAAAATTATCACTGAAATACAATGGGACAACCAGATAAAACATGATGAAGAACTACCTCTTAAGAAACTCTAAATACCATGTTGAAATAAACAAGACCAAAAGACATTTAAAATAAACTATGTGTTAGATAGCACAACATAAGATAAATTATATAGGAAAAAATACATATCATAATATTAATTACATAAATATCCTACTCTATTCTAAAATATACTAAAGAATTTTCTCTTTATATATATTCTCAACAATAATCTATAAATTTTAAAATTAATTACGGTAGATGTTCTAAGAGTTTCAATTTTTGAAAAATATAAATTTATTAAAATTGAGAAAATCTTGTATTCTAAGTTCATTTAGTGATTATAATTTTTGCTGGTTTGTTATTCCTTAACTTACTAAAAAATTAAAAAGCTGGATAAAATAAAGTTTAAAATATTAAAAAGTAAAAACCATAAAAAATATTCACTAGATTTCAGATATGTGAAAAAACCCAATCCAATATAAAAATGAACATATAATCATATATACATGTGTATATCTTTATATATTAATATTCTAACACTCGTAATTATATGATTAGTTTAATAGTATTTATAAAATCACCAAAAAATTTATGAGAAAAGTAGTGATGCACTATCACTGTAAAATAATTTTACATTTTCCGTGTATATAAATTAAACCCAAAATTCATACATATCTATATAAATTTTGATTAATTATATGAGAAATTGTTATATAATTTTAAATTGATGTTTTTCCGGAGGGATTGGTAAAGCAGAAAGAATGTGGTTTTCATAATATACATAAAGATCCCATAATTTATTTATTTATAATGTAAGAAAGATTAGCTTCCAATCAAAATATGAAATGTATGCTTATATTACTTTAAAACAAAATCACATATCATTACACTAAGAATACAGCTGAATCCAGAAAAAGTTTCAAAATGTCAAGTTGACACTACTAACTACCAAGTAACATTTGCATGTGCTGGTGCTACTTCATGAGGCGGATTTAAGCTCCCTCTTCAGTAATTCCTGCAAAATGAAAATCACATGCAGGTTCGGTGTTAGCGCAGTAGTGCCTAGTTTTACAACATGAAGAGACAGTTCAAATCCCTGCCCATGGTGTTACATTACCGCTTTGGTGGCAGCAACTGCTATACGCTCTCTCTCCTTCTTCTTGCGTCTACATTCTCCACACCAGCTAGGAAATTCTCTCTGATATTTCTTGATCTCTCTAAACGCCGAACTACATTAAGAACGATGACAATAATTATGCTTGAAGTATAAGAATTTGGGTTGACACTCACACTCAAGTCAAAGCCCAATATAATAAATAAAAAACACAGCATTCATTACATTTACAATGAGAAGTATGAGTAAAGTGATGTAAATACCTTCTACACCATAGAATTAAGTTGATCCGATTCCCAGATATTGTAGGTCTAGCACCATGACGGTGGCGACCAGAATGAAGGACTGCATGTCCAGGAACATGAGGATAATCGAATACCTCCTGCATATATATGTTTGGAGTTTAAAAAAAGCGTCGACACGAAATTCAGATAATTATCACCTATGTTTGGTCAACATCTTCTAGTTTGCAATAGTGCCACACAAGTGAACCCCGGTATATTTATCCTCTAACAAAAAGTAGCAGACATACCCCTGATTGGGTCTCTGTATTCACGTGTTCATCACATCGAACACCACGGAAGAACAGTTCTCCGCCTGAAAATTGTGTTCCTAGACAAATATTTAAGGTGACTTCTGCATCATCCACGTGGAACCCTGTAAAAGTAAAATTGATATTAAGGTACTAGATATGTCCAAAACAGTACACGCTATTTAGGTTCAAAATTTTGATAAAGGTTCGAGCTAATAACAAGTTGCATAACTGAGAAAAAAGTTTGAAAAACCAACCAAGTTCCACATCTCTATTGGCTCCATATTCAACAGCAAAACCATGATGAGAGTCCAGTGTGGATCCCCCAATTTCAGAAAAGAAAACTACAAAAAATATTCAAATAGCAAAAGTGAGTATTGTTTGTTTATCTGTCCTATATTCTCATTCATTCTCATTAAGAAAAAAACAAAAACAAAAAAACAAAAAAACAACCTCGGGCTATAGGACGTATGAAATCATTCATCAATTTATCAAGCATGGATTCTAGGCCAAAATCATCAAGAACAGCACCATATTGATTCATTGTATTAGGTCGCATGATTCTGAATTTGGTCTCGTGGACCCATCTTTCAAAATGATCTACCTAAGCAATCAAACCCTGTTAAGAAAACACAAAACACTAATATAGAACAGACGCAACGATATGTGCACGAAAAGGAAAGAAAAGGAATGTGATACCTCAGATATCAACATTTCACAAAAATGTGGTTGAAATATTTCAAATGTATAAATTCCTCTGGAGGGTTCTGCCATTATACTTCTGAAACTCGCTTCTGTATTATCTTTAATAGCTCTGAGAAATGAGGGTGCAAAAAAGTTTTCACTGAGCATAGTATATATCTCCTTATGAAGCGGCTACAAATCAAATGTGAATAATTAGTAAGATAGGGCGTGATTTGTACATAAATGCTAGAAATTTTTATATTATGTGCTAATTCCCGATTATCATATACAACAAGCAATGAATAAAATATGCCCCTTCAAAATAAAAACCATGCTTATCCCATGATTTACAAAAGAATCATAACAAGAAACCAACAGGATTTTCTAGCATTCAATAGAAAACTTACAGGATAGTTTAATATGATCTTTAGCCTGTATTCCTTTTGTTTTTGCATCTGTTCAATCCAGCATAGAACAACCAAAAACTCAGAAAGTGAATAGAACCAAGCTAAAGACAATAATAGGAAAAACAAAAGAAACCTCACTCCAACTGTCATACTAGGAGAAACTCACTATCACAAAACAGCATATATTAGGCACATTTGCAGTGTTGTCGACAGCGGAGAGCCAAAGTTCCACCATACGGCCGCTTGGCAGCGCCGTCATAGCGGACTATGGCGGGAAAACCCGCGATATCAGCCAGGGAGAGCCCAAAAATTGCCATGCATATCCGCCATAGTGGATATTTGATAACACTGCTCATTTGTCATCACCTTCATAGGTTAACAAGTAACATTTTTTATTACATTAACTAACTAACATATGTTGTGTGACACACGCTCAAATACATGTCAATATGCAATTGTGTTGTATTCATATTTAGAGGATGCAATATTTTTTAAAACTCAAATCCAACTTTCTAATCATGATTTCCTACGGTCTGGGTTGAGCTTTATATCTTGGAGAGGTCAAACAGTTGTTTTCATCTAACTCTGAGGGAATAAATGAACACCACTAAAAGCTTAAATTTACTAGTTATGAATAATGCCCTTCTCATACATTCTCAAGTATCAAATTTTCACTTTCACACGTCTTATTTCTTGGCAATTTGCAAGACATCTAAAGAAGGAATAACTTAAAACAGGTGGCTCTAGAAAATGCAACCTTGCAATGCCATCACGACAAAAAACAATAATAAATTCCCGATAACAATTTCAGGAAGCAAATCCAGACTTGTAAACTCGTGCAAAGGAACATTATGCTTCCATATAAAATCCATGAATATGCCAACTAGATGTATCAAGTGCAGAAAATACACAAACAAGTACTTTTCTTTAACAAAAGGCACACAAATTAATGTCTTGTTTGGATAAACAACTTAATTTACAGCTGAAAGTATAAACACTTATCATATAAGTTTTATGTATAACTTATAAGCAATTTCTATAAGAAAAAGATATAGGCATATAAACTATAAGCTTTTTTCATCGGTTCATCAGTAGAGCTTATGAAAATAAGCTGAAAAGCGCTTACGAACATGTCATCAGTTGTTTCCATTAACTCACGAAGAGTCTCGCATGTACTTATACCAATATATAGACTCAAACTAGTCAATTCAAACAACCCTAAAGATAATATTTGCATCAATGTATTTTTTGGATAAGGGCATTGATATAAGAACTAAGAACTCTAAACCCTAATTTCTATAAGAGAATCCAAATTGCAAAATTCAACTTACCCCAATTTCCAATTTCCCCTAAATTCCCTCAAAACACTCAAAATCAAGCAACTAGAACATATATAAAACAACCCACGAACCTTAATGATTAAGAGCAACATAAAAATCAAATCTTTATTTAAAAAAAATGAGGAGAAAAACACAAACCCTAACGCGTTCACTGTGAGGCAAATAACGGAGTAGAATGTTGGACATGTAGTGAGCTTTGAGGTCTCTAGATAGGGTAAGAATATGAGAAGGAAGATGTCTCTCGAGTGAAGTGAAGACGAGAGGGTTGAAATCCAAAGGAAGGTCTTCATAATTATCAGGCATGTGATCAATTCTAGGGTTTCCAAGAAGTCTGGTAATGGAATTGGAATTGGAATTGGAAGCACCAACGGTGCCATTAGTAGCGTTAGTAGTAGCAATGTCTCCGTTGGAAGCTTGAGCTCTGCGCTCCAAGGAACCGTTCTTGTGGTGGTGATACATGGTGGTGTTGTGCCTTAGGGTTTACTGTCTCTTCTTCAATTCATGCCTCATACCCAAAAAATCAGAAATTGAGAAGAGAAAGATGATGGAAGGTTTTGATTGATTCTCTTATTACACTTGTTTTTTTTATTAATTTAATCAGTTCTAAAATTAATAAAAAAAAGTTTTATATTATGATAAAAAAAAAATTACTATTTACTAATACTATATAAATAATTCAAACCAATTTGATTCTTAATCGGAACAACACCGAAAATAATAATTGATCAATATTCATATCTCAGTTGACTAAATTTTTATTAGATGATAATATAAAATTATTTTACAACGTTAATGTAGTACGAAAAAATAAATTGATTTTCATTGATTTTAATGTCTAAGTATTTAAAATGATCATTTTTATTTGGTAGAATTTATTTATATTTATATATTAATATAAATAATTTTTTGATATTTATTAAAAAAGTAATCACTTTTTAATTTAAAAATTATTTCTTAATAAATTAAAAATAAATAATTTAATTAAAATAACTAATAATTAATTTTATAAAAATTAAATGCATCTGAGTGTAATAATTTAATTAGAATTGATAATATAATTAAATATAAATTTAATAAAAATAAGAATTGGCTTTGGTGATGACAAATGTTGTTAGAATGGGAAAATCCTTGGCATGGGAATGATTTCTTGCCAAAATTAAAGGGAGGGCACCCCTACTTGATTGGATTAGAAATAAGGCTTTTGAATTGTATCTTTTAAGTAGTTTGTGTTTTTGTTGTTTGTTTTTGAAAGTCTTTGTGTTTTTTTTAAGGTTGGGTATCTTTTATACTCTTTTTATTTACTTTATTTAAAAATATATATAGAGAATTAATCAGTGTCATTGGATTTAAATGTACTTGAAGAGGGTCAAATTAAAAAGATACGGATAGATTTTAAAAAATTGATTATGTGTTGTGTAATGTGGGTTAAAAGGCTTCAACATCACAAAAATTGTATCAAAGTTCTTCAACCATAGTAAATTTTTACATGTTTTAGTAATGACAATGAACTCTTCCTTTATGGTATTAGTAGGTAGCATTTTTGTACTTTGGAATGTCGAGTCACATCTTCCCTTACAAATTTAATCATGTTGTTTAAAGTGGACTTTCTAAAACTAATGTCTCCATTCATATTAGAGTCTGAGTAATCCATTAGAGTATGCTTATCTCCTCCAAAGCAAAACCTCACACAAGTAGTATCGCAAAGATACCTTAAATTCATTTCACAATATTTCAATACTCTCTACTTTGATTTGATAAAAATCTACTGAATGTACCAACAACATGTGTTATATATGGTCTTGTACACGCTATTGCATACATGAAATTGCCCACAACAAACGCATAAGGAACACGCTTCATATCAAATGTTTTCATTTTCACTTGAATGAATTTGATTAGAACTCAACTTAAAATGGGTAGCAAGAGGAGTGTTTACCGCCTTAGAACTTTACATTTTGAATCTTTGTAGTACTCTTTCGATATATTGTTCTTGTGACATCCAAAGTTTCTTATCCTTTCTGTCAAACATGATTCTAATGCCAAGAATATGTTTAGTTGCTCCCATGTCTTTCATGGCAACTATTTCTTTAACATGTCAATGTTAGAAATAAGTTTCCATATAATGAGCATACAATCAACATATAACAACAGGGTAATGAAGTCATCGTTAGAAATTTTTCTAACAGGTGCAATGATCTGAAGTAGTCTTCTGGTATCCATAATCACACATAATAAACTAAAATTTCTTATATCATTGCCTTGGAGTTTGCTTCAACCCAGAGTCGGCCTTAGGCCAGGGCAACCAGACCCAAGACCTAGGGCCTAAAAAATTTGGGAGCCTCAAAATCAGAAGAAGGGGTAAAAGATTATAATAATTAATAATAATATAAAGACTATTTGCTAAAACGTACTTGTATCTCTCCAGAGTAAGAGTGTGTTGATTCTAGAAACTAATGATGTTACACACTATTCTACCAGAGTCAGAACCTGTTAGCAAAAGCAACAGACTAGAAAAAACCATTAGGATACAAAATTATTCTCTAAGAAACATTGTATTGTTATCATTAAAACTAAAGGTAAGATGCATAACCAAATCTTGTTCTTACTTAAATAAACAATAATCGTGGCCTAAAATAGAAAATTATTTTCTAGAGGATAATTAATAACCAAGTTATCTAAAAAAAATTAAAAATAGTTTAGAAAACAAGGAAAAAATGTGGCCCAAATTAAATAAAATCGTTCCTAAATTACTAGGCAGCAGTTTTTCATGCGTGGTATATACAAATTTTCACACGTTGTAAGTTATCCAGTGAATAAAAATTACATACCAGAAACTTGATTGCAAGTTATTTGGTGAAGAAAAATTACATACCAGATAACTAGAGTGCAAGTTATTTGGTGAAGAAAAATTGCATATCAGATAATTTGCTTACAAGTTATTTGGTGAAGAAAAATTACATACCGGATAACTTGCTTGCAAGTTATGTGGTGAAGAAAAATTATATATCAGAAAACTTGATTGCAAGTTATTTGGGGAAGAAAAATTACATGTCGGTTAACTTGATAGCAAGTTATTTGGTGAAGAAAAATTACATATCGGATAACTTGATTGCAACTTATTTGGTGAAGAAAAATTACATACCAAAAAATTATTTGATAAGTGAAAAGGGAAGAATGGGGATATTTTAAAAAAATTTAAGGGTAGAGGGATAACAATAGGGGTATAGGGTACAATTTTCCTAATAAGAAAGTTGTCAAACTGATAGCCAAACAAATCCAGCTGTCATCCATGGTTCTCTTTCTCTACTCTCTACTTCTTTCGTTCAATTTGTCCACTCAGCTTTCAATTTTTTTAGAAAATTCCTTCATTTTCGATTTATGAAATTAAAAGGCTTACATGTATTTCGACATTTTTTCTCTCCACTTCTTTTTTTACGTTTTAAATTCTTTTAGTTTCTTTCAAGTATTATTTTGTTTCTTCTTCATCTACATCTGGTAAATAATAGTTTTAGGTTCAGTTTGTCAGGACAAAAGCGTGAAAGGGGCCATGAAAAGAAGAAGAAAATTGTTTTAACCTTTTTTGTTGAGAAAAAACTAAAATGCGATCTAACACCTAGAATCAGCTGAACCGCCGATTGTGTTTGGTTTTATTGGTTCTGGTTCAATTTTCCGGGTTGTATGTAACAAGCCGATTTTTATACACATTTAAACTGGATACAGGTCCAGTACCCGGTCCAACCTATTGAACCGACCGGTCCGATATGATTTTTATTACCATGCAAAAAACACTACAGGTTGTGGGGGTTACAAACTTCCCTAAATTTAATAATCTTCTTGTTGTTTATGTAGATATCTCATCAAGCATGTTGTAGGCATACTTTTGCCCTACCATATATTTCCATTTCCACAATTGAACCTGGAGCTATAACTAAAATCACAATAATCACAAAAAAAAGTTCAAAATTCATATTCTAAAAACAATATTTCTAGAAAAGGCCCACTAATGACATAGTAATGCAAAACATTGTTTGACTCCATGGTTGAACGCATTGTTGTTATATGGACAATGTTAATTGGTAGTTATTCTCAAGATAATAGATTTTGTGAAGCTTTTAGTCATTTTGCTGAGATGGGTAGGCACATGATTTATCCATATCAACCAAATAATTATTGCATTTAGCATACATATCAACAAAAGAATTACCTACGAGAATTTATGAAATCGTATTTGTTACAATAGTTTTGGAACGAGTCTGTCTACCCATATATAGGTTTAAAGAAATTGCAGTTATGCTTAACAACGTAGAATATGGGAATTATCTCATGTCAAATCCAGTGAATTACAATTCCCTGAGCAGTTCAAGAGATACAATCGCCAGACGATGCAGAGGCGACGGGCTCTCGCCTCTCGCTTACCCGATGATGCTGGAGCGAAGCTCCCCTCCCATACATTTTCCAGTAGCACCATGTTTCCACGCATTCCTTCGCTTATTAGCTCGCCCAGAGAAGACCAGGTGACATTGCTTCGCCCGACGATGCATAGTAGACAACAACTCCCTGTTGCGATTCTGCATTTGTTCATCCCCAAATCCTATTACATTGATTCTATCTTGATTGTTTATGTAAAACACTTCTAAACGAAAAAGTTTTTAACCTAATTCAAACCCTCCATTCTTGTGTTTTCCTCAACCTTTAATATATATATATATATATATATATATATATATATATATATATATATATATATATATATATATATATATATATATATATATATATATATATATATATATATATATATATATATATATATATATATATATATATATATATATATATATATATATATATATATATATATATATATATAGAGAGAGAGAGAGAGAGAAAGAGATTTTAAAAAAATATTAAATTTTTTTGTGATTTAAAAAAAAAATACTCATTTGGTTATTATTTTGAATATGGATATCCAAAATATGGATTTAGCTAAAACCATATTTAACACGCCCATGATATGGATTCAGTTAAAACCATATTAAAAAGTAACTGATTTTTAATAATTGGGTTTGAATATGGATAACTTATATAATCGGTTAATTTGAACACCCATATTCATGTCCGCGTCATTTCTAACGACATTGAAAAGTGATCTTACCGGATCAGACTTGGACCGTCACAGCTGGCTCGAACTGGATTTGAATGAGATGGGGGGGGTACCTGCAAGACACTCCGATGATAAAATGAGAGACGGAATAAGCAGGTGAAAAGTATGTAGGTGTGTAATGAATGAATACCTGACCCTCTTGGAACAGAGGGTATTTATAGCCTCCATCGTCGGTTGTTGGGTAGATCCAGCTGTCGAATTCAGATTCCTCCACGTCGTCTTCAATAGCATTTACTCCCGGGTTGGTGATGAACACAGGAGATTTTCCAATCCTTGCCTTACGAACAGCCCTCTG